AGGAATTACACTAGGACTAGTTTCTGTTATATAAAAACAGCTGTTATAAAAGTTTCTAAGTAACATGAGTACAGAACATGAAACTTAAGAAACAGGAGCACTCAACCTACAGGATTGTGAAAAAATAGGAGAAAATGTCACACCTCCGTGAAAAGCTATTGGTCTAGGAGGGAAACGTAGAGGGCTCAGAAGCTCACAGAGCTACAGCCAGTAACTCCGAAGCACAGCCTGATTTCTTGGCCTCTTGTTTTCACTCAATTAAGCTGAAAATCCTCAGCAGCCAACAAATTGTTGATGCCCTCTGAAGCTGCCTCATCAATCCCCTCAGCAAAAATTGTGAGAGATACAGGAAAGAAGCTCCCCCAAGAAAACTGGGGGCTAGTCTAAAACAGATGGACAAAAATAACGGAAGACAATCTCTGAATAAACACCACCTCTGGATAAACAGAAAAGCACAACTTGATCGGCAGGTTTTTCCCTCTACAAGCAGATTGGGAAGTCCTTCCAGTGAGGTTATCATAGTTAAGCAGATACCGCTTTTGATCTTGAAGTCAGGCTCCTGGAGAGTTTTGGCTATGAAAATATGCAAATGTTTCCATTGGAATGCATGGTGCATAATCAATCATGCCCAGCAGGCCTTACAGATCAACAACACACTCTAATCAGAAGGCTGCCCAGAGCTATGTTCCTGGAGAGACCAGGCAAGAAAATAATGTAGGGATGAAAATACATCACCATCTGTACTATTTCTTTATAATGACGGTCAGGAAACATGGCTGAAATTCATTTTGCCCCAGCTTTCTCTAGCTATTCTACAAAGACCTAAAGAGACAATGTTGGAGAGAATTCTTGGAGGTATTTAATTTACTTTATTTCAATTATTTAACATGTTTTTCCATTAAATTAGAAACTAATTAGTAGATAAAATATAGGTACAGGAATAAAAATTAATTTCACAGTAATAGAGCAGCTTTTTTAATATAAAAGCATCAAAAGATAGTAAAATGCAATATATTACCGTCATGGCAAATGTCACTGCTTAACAGCAGTGAAAATGAAGAGCACAGCAGCTAGGGTTTATTGCACAATAACTATTTTAACACTCTAAGGAAGTGTTTAAGCAACAGATGTTTAGCTGTGGATTGTCCTTTAGCAGCACAAACTATCTAGAAAAAGTTAGGCAGTTAGAAAATTTATCTTGTTCTTTTCTTCAGAGATAACAGAGTACAGGAGGGCTGGGGAAAATGAGGATGATGTATCAAGAAGATAATACAAATTTCACAATATTTTGAGGTCTTCAAGTAGAAGACTAATAAAAGAAAATCTGTTGATTTATTCAAACGCACCTACCCATCAGAGGGGTAGAAGTGATGCATGCCTAGTGCCTTTGGGAACACCTGAAAGGACCCCCTCTGACACTACTGCATTTAAGTTCTGAAGGGCTTCCAGCTACCATAGGTCAAAACACTTCAGTCTTAAAAGGCATTTAACACCACCACCATTTTTCCAACATTTATTTTCACATTTTACTCAAAAAAAAGGAAACTTCACCCCTTGCTCTCCACCCCCCACCCTTCTATCCTATCCTCCTTCTTCCAGGAGGTAGAAGCCATTCCCTGCACTGGGTCCCTTCTCACATCCTCACACCCACTGTATCAGCAGTCCAGGCTCTTTCATGTCTTTCTTTTTGACATGCTTTGGAATTATGTGTCCATGATGGTAAGTAACTGAAGAAACTACAAATGAGCAAGAAGGTCCTGTTACCTTCCACACCTCTGCCTGCTGGGAACATCATCTCTGATTACATTTGACCTCTACAGACATAGCTGTCTGAAATACTGGCAAACCTGGGCCTGCTTCTGCCCACCAGACAAGGCGATTAGTCCCACAATGATACCACTCTCTCTTTACAAAATGGCCTTTCACTACTCAGATCCATGGATCTGGCTGTGTTTGATTGCTGCTGCTTGAACTGGAGATCAGCCAAAAGTGTATTTTTCTCTCTTGTACAGATAACATCTCAATTCTCAGAGATAACTGCAGTTCAAAGCCAGATCACTTTTTCCAAGACTGCAGTTCTTTATGCATCAAAACTGACAATAAATTCAATATTTAAAGGAAAAATAAAGAATTCAAGTTTCCCCATTATATCAAATCATTAATTTGCTCAAGCTGAACAGTTCCATTTATGCTTATCTGCATTTCAGAAGAAGGAACACGATTTAGATCTGATAAATTTTGTTCAAAATGACCAACTGAAGAAATCTGAAAAGGGAAGAATTAATGCTGTTAACTGTCATTTCATTTCTTGCACTCCAAAAATAAAAATCATTATGAAAAAGTCATGATCTCCTCCTGTCTTAATCCAAAAGACACTTCCAGTACATGACATAACATAGAGAGAAACATCTGTAAGTATTTTCACAAGATGAAATAAAATGTAAACAATGAATTTATCAATTCTGTATCCAATAAAATATTTATTTTACTATAATTTCCATGCACCTGACTACCTGGCACACAAAACACTAGGACTCAGTTAAGATATTTTAACATTTCTAAAATGTCAGAATCCATAAGCAATAATGAAAGCTCTGAAGCTGAATGCCTCCAAGAAACATTATGCTGGTGTTTTGCTGAGCTGTTAATTATTTTAGATACAGTGCCTCACAAAGATTTCTGTTCTTATTCATTGAGATCCTTAAAACAGCTAAGAAAAGATGGCCTTTGTTTCATTTTGTGGGAAAAGTGAAGTAAATTTATCCACCTGTTTAGCAGCTCTTTTGCAAACACTTTTTCAGAGCTCTTTTGGACATACTCATATGCCCCTGTTAATAATGAATCCAAAGCTTTGATAAACTTCTGTCTCAAAATCACTTAAATATTGTTATGGGTTTAGTTGGATACTGCAAAATGTTATCTTTCACTTTGGCATCTGAAGTGAAATGGGCTCCGCTCAGTTCCACTAAGGTTTTAAAACAAAATAAATAACAATCTTCACTTTCACTTATTACTACATATGCCCTCTTTACAAAATAAAAAATTTGGGGGTTTTTTTGTAAAGAGGGTATATGTAGCAATAAGAAATAAAGACCCTATTAAAACCCTTATTTGTAAATCCATAATTGTAATTATCCCCCATAATTGTAAACATTATCTGATTAATTCAAGATGATCTTCCACAACTGGGTATAATAAATCTGCAAAGGCAGGTGGATTTTCTCATCAGAAGAGAGAACAGTCTACTCAATGAGTCCTGCCAGGAGGCAAAGGAACAAGGAATTCACCTCTGGGGAACATGCATCTCTCTCAGCACAGTCCTGGACAGAAGACTGGAAGGGGCCTAGAAAGAGGCAAGAAATGGATGGAGTCTTCTTGAAGAACGTGACTTACAGATCAAACTGTGCTGCCAAGGAAGAGAGACTGGGCGCTCCCCTTCCCCTTCATTACAACAGCATATATTTAGGAAGATCTCCAAGCAAAGGTTTAAGTGTTTTTCCCATCAGTTGTGGACAAATGGCCCAATAACACCTCAGCTTCAAAGCAAAACTTGAGCTTGACTGGAAATATGTAGCAAGGGTGACCAAAATGTTTATTATGCTATTGAACATAAATTCCAGGTTTCTTTCCTACTTCATCCTTTAATTCTGCTAAAGCTGGAGCTCAACCTGCATGTCTGAAAAGACACAACATAACAGTAATTTTTATGCCCCCAACAAAATACATGCAGATGGAAAGAACAACTTTAGAAGACACTTTTGTAAGTAAACTTTCTTCCTATCATCTTAAGTATCCTGTGCTCACAACTGGTGTCACAATTAGCCTTAAGAAGGCATTAAAGATGTTTATTCATCCTCTTTTCCAGCTCATTGGGGAAAAAATATCCATCCCTCCAAGGAAGGATAATCTTGTAGCTACAGAAAATGGGGGCTTGACTACTACTTCAAGTAGATTATCTGCATGAAGTCACACAAAAATGCACTTAAATCCTGTACCTTAGCGGCCTGAGTTGTTAAATGGAAATGCTAACATATGGTTTGAGCAGAAGGTTAGCCTAGGTGACTTCCTGAGGTCCCTCCTGACCTACATGTTCTTGTGATCCTATTTGCTTTGAGATACACAGGATGAATGAGAAGGACACTCAGACATCCCAAGGTTGAATACTAGTGAAAATCTCAAATAAGTACCCTACCATTTTCAAGGTTGTAATACATAGCTTTTTACTACATATATATGGGGGGGAAATCCTGTAGAAATGCTCATGGACTCAGTGCATGGACATCTATGACAGCCAGAGAAAAATATCAAGTGATTCTGTTCTGGATGATGTGGTAGAACCTGCTGGTTATGTTGGTTTTCAGAAAGCCAACAAACTGAAAAACTTAACACCTGTTTTGACTACAAATTTTTAAAGTAGCATCATAAACTCGAAAGGCCTTTTACTGAATTGTGTGCAAGTAAATTTACCAGGCAGATTAAGCAGAAATCTTTACAGACAACTGATGCTAACATGAACAAGAAAAAGAAAAAGCACTTGTCATCTTGCAACACAGAATACTCAATGAGTAGAAAGTGTCTCCAAGTATGACAAGTAAAAAAAAAAAAACATTTGAAAAATGAATTGCTAGCAGGTAAGATGATTCTGTGTCTAATTTAGAAGATTACTTGTCAGGGTGAAGCTGAGTCAACAATCTCTTCCTCTTAAGACACATCCTCTTCTCCAAGTACCTCAGCTGCAGCACATTCTAAAAGCAAAAACAATGCAAAAGCACCAGCAAGTCCTACTCTGCAGATGCTCTCATTTTCTGCTACTGGTGTTTTTAATTTCCTAGCACTTCTCTCAAATAAGAAGGTTGTGATTGACTTCGGACTGCCTGGGCACAAACACTACTCTTAGTTCTGTTTACCAAATTTGTATCTAATGTCCCATTGAAAAAATGGCAGGGAAGAAAAAGGAATAAAGCTTAAAACAAAACACAACAAAAAAAAATCAAACTCACCTTGCTGGAGGCACATCAATATTTGAAGAAACAACCTTGCGCTTCTGTTCCAGAAGACAAACAGAACGTGTGTTTTCCTTTTCACACTCATGAGCTCTGTTAAGTTTTTTGGTCTCTGCTGTTTTTAAATCTTCCTCCTTTGTGGTGAACAGGAGAAACTGTTGGTCTGGCAGTTTTCGACTGATGTCACTTTTTACATCCTCCTGTTGAAATGCATGGAAGGTCATTTCACGCTTGATGTTGGCTGCCTGAAAAAGTGAAAGCAATTATTAAATTTTCCTTTAATTCGCCTAAAATGGGAAACAACCCACTACCCACAGGCATTTGCTTCTAATTAATTATTTGAATTAGTGAATACCATTTCTTTGTCCTTCATAAATTCTCAAACGGCCATTAATTTCTCAAAAATGTAGCCAGGAAAATAAACAATTTTTGTCCATTTGATAAAGCTATCAACCTCTTTATGTTAAATCAAAAAGGTATTTGTACTAGAATGTCAGAAACCAGAGTATAAACAATATATTTTTAATGCACACACATCTGTGCTGCATAGCTATGCAAAAGAAATCCTAGCTGCCTTTCTCCTAAAATTGCAGAAAAAAAAAGCCAGAATTTTTCCAGATTAAACACAACCAAAAAATTAAATCACTTCCTACAGCCACATACTGGATTCTTTAAAAGCTGTATTTGTAAATAAGGGGTTTTCCAGGAGCAGTAAAATAATTTACTATGATCCAACTCATCTGCCAGAAGGCAAAGGGGAGCAAGTGATAGCAGCAGGATCTCTGTGAGGAGCCATCACAGAGCAGGGACACACACCCAGGATCAACTCCAGGTTGTCTCTTTGCCAGCACTTCCCAGATCTTCTGGTCTGCCACTTCCCACAAGCAAAGACTTCCCAAGCAAATACAAATACACTACCACTCTGGAATACAATGTGCTGGTGTTTATAAAGCAAATTATTGCAGGGATGCAGGGAAGACCCTGAGAACTCATCAGAACCAAGCGACTCAACCTTCCCAACAAGCAAAACAAAGCACAGGACCTAGATTTTTTTGTGAAATCCATTCCCTGGCCAGTTACACTTCTCTGGCCAGCTACAGTTTCACAGGGGCAGACCTATCTGTGAGGTGACCCCTCCAACCAGCCCAACCAACCAAGCAAAATACAGCCCAACAAAGTGGCAGCTTCTGTCTTGAGCAGAGGCACTTTCACACCACATGCACTTGCTCAGAGAAATCCAGGTGCCTTCTAGAGCTGGCAAACTGGATTTTAAAGTATTTGTAAATTATTGCTGATCTTCACATTGGAGATATCCAAAGCTGTATTGTCCTCAGATAGTAACAGCACCAATAAACTGAAATTCCTACGTCAACTCTTCCAACTTATTCCTCCTTTTCATCATCCAAAAAATTAATGAATGTATTTGTGTATATATTTATGTAGTAAAATATATTCCTCTCTCCACAGATCTGTTTGTAGATTTCAAACTTTGGCAGTTACAAATTTTAAGTTCACAGGAAAGATACTTGCCACAGTAATTTTGCTGTATTCTGTAAAGTGTATCACATCATTAATGCATAACTATTTAGGACTGTTGATTTAATTGTTTCTAGTGCTTCCACTGAGGGGCTTTTAGCAGTTGCTTCAAGATGAAAACAAGAGTTATTATTCTATGAACGTAAACAGTAGAAAGAATTGGACACTTTACACTTCTTCACACACAAACAGATGACACATTACCACGAAAATCTGCCTGGAACACAAAACAGTCAGCATGTGATCACACAGAATTAGAAGAAGACATATAAACAACACAAATTGAATTCTGATTTAATGATTTAAAAAAAAAAACTTCTTAGATTTACAATTAGCCTTTTTTTGAGTGCCTGAGAATCACTGAAATGCTAAGTTGCCTTCAATTTTCATTAAAACTGACTTATAAGTAATGCACTGAAATAACAAAAAAGCCTGAAAATACCCAAGTTCCAATATCCAGCCCCTAGAAATTATATAACATCAAACAAGGGTTTACATAAGGCTTGATTTCCATCCCCTCCACTGCTGCATGGTCTTCCCTGCATGACCACGCCTTCCTTCCTCATCCCATGGATTCCCACCTCATCCGCTGCAGAGGAGGCTTGAGCGGAGCAGCAGCAGCTCCCCGCGCTGTGCATGGCACGGGCGCTGATGTGCACAAGTACTGGGCAGCACCAGCAGCTCCCTCCTTACCCTCTACAACCCTCAGTGTGGAAAACGCCCAGAGCACGGAGAGGAGAGGGACAGCCTCCCTCATTTCCTACTCTCCAATGCCAGACTGAACTCAAGTTTTCAGCAGGATGGCTTTAATTAATCTTTTAATGGACTAAGTGCGTGACTGTACCAAAGAAAAAGAAAAGGTATTTTTGTCTTCTATTTATGAAACTTTAGGATTTTACTCAGTTTCAGAAAATATATTGTGCCATACATTGCTGAATTTTCTTTACAGACCTAAGCAGTGACAACAGAAGGTTGCAGGCTCAGACTACAGCTGTAACATAAAGCCAAAATAAAAAACAGCAGAATACTTTTACTGTGATACCAGATAATCTATTCTTATACATCAAATTTATCCACATCCAGTTCAAACACATTTCATATCTCAATATGCCACAATTAATAGTCAGTCCCATGCAAGTAAGTATATGGAAGTGAGGAAAGACAAAAATCACAGAGCAAATGCTCAGGTTGCAGAAGCAGCTCAGGTTCTTCAGCCAATGGTCAGAAAAAGCAGAAGACCAAATACAATGCTTAGACTAATTCTCTTCCTCACCTTCAGTTTTCAACAGATGCTTGGAAATACTAACTCCTTTCCAAACTTTCCCTTGAGAGTGACTGCATGTAAACAATCTTTTCTGCTTTAGATATAGGTGATCATGAGTAAAAGCCAAGAGTTTTCCTTTATGGGCTTTCTCCAGTAGCTTTCTCCTATTCCACATGCAGTTTTTCTATTTTAATTCATCCATGTCTATGAAAGCCATTTCCCCTTGAGGCACCTGCCCTGTCTGGAAGTCTATGGTGTCTTTTGCTGGAAATCCAACCACCTACACAAGCAGCCATTGATGTGAAGAGTGCTGTGGCCATGGTCATTTGAATGATCAGGTTCCTCACCTCCTGGCAAACACTGATTAATGACCAGGACACCTCAGATTTCAAGCTTTGCTTCACCAGCACTCATAGTTCAGAGATAACACAGACAATTTCCAATATATCTTTCCAGATAGTTAACTGTTCTGTCATATTTTATCAATTACTATTTTTTTTTTCATATATATCCTTAATATTCTTTTACCCACTTGAATCTTGTGGTGGTCCTTCAAGTCCAGAATGTTTCAGCAAAAATTCTGTGGAAGATTAGTCGAACCTGTCTAGGCCTGTCTCACAGACAGACAGAACGTAAGATTTTGACACCATTTTATTTCAGCTTACTTCCAATACTTCACATTTCTCCATCCATTGCTGTTCTCAAATTCCTTGATTACATTATTCCCAAATGGTTCAGCTTTTCTTGTCCTCCAAATTTGCCATCTTATTGCCTCCAGTATCAACTACTGGCAAAATTTCTGTCCTTTTCATGTACTTGATGAATTATCACTCATACAAGCCACTTGATAATAGGCTGTTTTTCTATGCAATTCACTGTGTATTTTCACCCTTAAGCCATCAGCAACCTTCAGCTTACTTTCAACAAAGTTCTTTGCAACCTGGCCTCAGGCAACCAACATCACTTGGAAGTTCAGTCACAGAAACAGGAGCTATGAACCACCTGTAAATTAAAAAAAACCTAGTTTTGTTTCTCTCTGCAGTTTCCTCCACCTGCCTTTGTCAATTTCACCTCCCATCACTATCAGGCAAAGGAGACTTTTGATACTGTGCTCCTTGGAAACAACCATATTACCCAAGTCTTCCCCAGTGGAGCTCAAGCATGGGGCAGTGCCAGAGCTGAGGTCTGATGTGGCGTTACTCCTTCAGTAATCATCCTGCAAAAACTGAAAACCATTTTTTGCTTTGGTTTCTAAGTAAAAACTTTATTAAGAAAGCCTTTCAATTTCTGTTTCAAAGCTGTCAATACAATAGTATATATTTAGATTGAGGGTTTTACTTTTAAGTTAAGGGTTTTACTTTAAAGCCTGATTCATTATTATTAAACTGCAAAGTTTAATAATCCATGTGACAGCTAAATCATTAGCACAGTTACTATTTTCAGCAGTATATTAATAATTTTTCATTGCAAAACCTATCTTAACCTGCCTATAGAAAGTTTTATGTGGTGGCATTTTGTCATAACCCAGTTGCTGGTCCTGAACTCCACATCAAGACCACGTGTTGCAATGTAAGTCCTGTCCAAAATGAGCATATTTCACACTGACACAAACTGAGGAATTTAGAGAAGTGTTTCACTATTCCTTACAAACGATGTGCAGGCTGCAATTTTTCACTAGTTTAGGCCTTAACTTATGTGCAGTCAATTTTTGCCCTACACAAGAGCACATCCTGATAAGATGCTGACATTGCAGTGAAACCTCAGTCTCCTCCAATTTCAGTTAAATTTCAGCTTGCATTTTACCTTGAACAGCAAAAAAAATATTGATCAAAAAGACAACTCAGGCACTGAATTGCCTATTCAAAGGATCAGCAAACACTAGAATAAGTAGACCTATCACATTTATATGGAAACACAGAGACTCAGATTTGACAGATTATGTATGTCACCCCTTGAGTACAACCTGACTGGACTTTATCATCTTCCCTTGCTTATGGTACACTGCTGCTTAAAAACTGGAGTTATTTATTTTCAAACAGCTCACTAGCATTTAACAGGCATTAAGATGTCTGTGTTTCCTATACAATGGAAGGCATTGAACTCCCAAGAATATTAGCATTGTGACCCAACTGTATGGAAATATATCTTCAAATGTGAAAACTGACTCCTACCCATGTTCTTTCAAATGTCCTATTTTTTTTTTTGATGCAGAACCTGTGGATTCAGGTGGGCACAGCAGGAATAGAAATGTCATTTTTAACAGCCTTTGTAACAGACTACACAGACAGATGGAAATACAACAAACTATTGAAAGAACTGGCACACCACATACCATGCCTACTTTGCTGACAGTTTTATAAACATCTCAAGGGTTGATTTCCACATGGCAGCTGTCCAGCTCAACAGAGCACTGCCTCCCACCCCTGGGACTCGATGAAGCACCTG